TCTTTTGTGCCACAGAATACAAGTATCAGGCTGACTATTGCAAGATTTAGAAAATAGAGAGGCTGCAGAAATAGTCTCAGATTTAGTACAGTGTATGGAGGTATACTTTTGTATGGTTCTCTGAAGAAAGGAATTCTCATCTAGAATGTAAAGGTTCTTGATAGCTCTACCAACTGCCAGGGTCTCCTCAGTCTCACGGTCCTGCAACAAGCAATGATCATCAAGAAAGATGAACTTGAGATTCGAGGTTTTGGCCAATTTGTTCACAGAGAGCAAGTTAAATTTAAAAGTAGGTATGTGTAAGACTCCTGTGAGGGTGAGGTTGTTACTGAGGATTATATTGCCAGAATGTTCAACTCTGTTTACGGTTCCATCAGGTAGATATACAGGTATATTGGTAGTGACAATTTTTGGTTTATGCATAAGTGTTATGTCATTACACATATGATTAGATGCTCCTGTGTCAACTATCCAAGAGCCTATATCTACAAGATTGCAGGTATATAAAGCATAAATGTAATCAGGTGTGAGTACTGAACCTGCAAAATCTTCGAAATGTGCAAAGTTTACCATGTTACTCCCTTTCCTTTTGATAATTTTGATCAGCTCCTGTTGTATAACCTCACTCAAATTCATCCCCTGCATCTGCTCCTTCAATCCATCCCCTGTTTCTTCACTCATCAGATCAAGTGGTGTTTCTGCCAAATTTACCACATGTTTTCCTTTCTTCTTTTCTTTGAGTTCCTTATACCAGTCTGGATATCCAATAATCTTGAAGCAAGATTCCCTATTATGCCCATTGATATTACAATGTGTGCAGTATTGTTGCTCCTTTTCCTTTTTAGTTTCATATCTCTTTCCTTGTCCTTTCAACCCATAATCCTTTCTGTGGATCTGTGATTTTGCATACATGGCGTTCAGCTCAGCACCTTCACCATAAACAACTTGCACCTCTCTTTGTTTCTCTATTCTCTGAACCATTGAATAGGCCTTATTAACCGTTGGCAATGGTTCAGTGACTAGGATCTGACTCCTCACATGCTCATATTCTTCATTCAGTCCCATCAGGAACTGCATCAGTCTGTTAAACGAGTTCATCTCTGTAGCTGCTTTTGCTGAACCACAAGTGCATTGCGGTAGTGGCATGAGGTATGTTAGTTCGTCCCAAAGTCTCTTGAGCTTTGTATAATACAGCGTCACATTCAGTGTTCCCTGTGTCATAGAGGATATTTCTCTCTGGATCTGGTATAGCTGAGGTCCATTGCATCCTCCGAACCTTTCTTCAATTTCTGTCCACAGCTCTCTCGCGGTGGCGGTATATAAGAATGCATCAACTATTTCCTTTGAGATAGAATTCAAAATCCATGATGTTACCATGTAATTCACACGGTTCCATCTCTCATATTCAGCTGAATCCTTGCTTGGCACTTCAATTGAACCATCAATTATTCCCAATTTCATTTTCGCCCCTAGGGCTATACGAACGGATCTGTTCCAAGCTAGATAATTC